GATTCTATGATGTCTTTATCCCCTTATCCCTCTGTGTTCCTTGCTTGCTCCTCCCCAAATTATCTCAGTCCTCCTTTGCCCCGCCCTTGGTTCCTCCCCTAAACATCCCATACTAAGTTTTGTGCAATCCCAAGATGCTATTCCCTGGCATCCCACAACGTGTCCCATACCCCAGGCACTGACCCCGACTCGGTCAGTGAGGTGACCCAGAGAGCTGCTTACGTTGCCCCATGGGGCCAAGACTTCTGGGACAGCCCTGGTAGGGGCTGGGGCAGCGGGTACTGGGGCTCCACCACTGCCCTCGTGCCTCTGGGCTCCTTTGTGTGTGTGGAGACGAGCTTTGTAGCGTAACAGGCAAAAACCGCAATTCTCACAATTTTTTTACCTACTTAATGTGTTGAAATTAGAGAAGAATGGGCATTTTTATTAGGCAAGTATAATGAGGCATCCATTACAAAAATGAATTCTATCCAAAGCAGAGCCAGAAATGTATCTTCTGGTGTTTGCATGTCAATTACAGAGAGAGCAGCAAGATGGCAGCAAAGATGTAGTTTTGTCTTGTGTTTACTCTTGAGGGCTAAGGTGCTTTCTTCAGACTCTATGTATTGGATCATGTACCAGTGAGCTGTCAGGGATTAAAAATTAAGTAAATCCTTCAAAATGCCACTTCAGATGCTCAGGGACTCTGAGAACTTGGCAAAGATAGCTAGAATTCAGGTGTTTTTCGCTAATCTTGTTCTTTCACTGCCTCTTGATCTTAAAATGGCATTTCATTTATGTGACTTCTGAAAGTTATTTCTTAATTTTTAAAAGCTGAATATGTTCAGCTCTGCTGGAATGAATTCTGTCAGTTCAAGCTCAATATTTGCACTGCAGAAGTGCTTTAGAAGTGGATTAAACAAAGGTTGCAGAAGAAAAGGATAAATTACCTTGTGGTGGGGGAAGTTTTACAGTTGTTCTCCTTGTCCTTATCTTAGTATCAAGTGCCTGCAGGTGCTTCTAACTATGTGCAGTGCAAGTCACCAAATCATAACAGCCAGATCCGAATGGCTTGACCTCGGCTAAAATCTGAAATATGACATGGCAATTCCTGGTTTTGTAAATGAGATACATGGAAGTCAGGCCAGACGAGTCTCCATTTGTCAGAGGATTGTCATGACACATCTGTAAATGCATTTTTACTGGGTTTTTTTTTTTTTTTTACTCTTATGTTAATATATTTAACGTAAAAAATGAGAAAAGATTGTTGGTGTATTGTCTCAGGAATGCAGTCACAAAAGGAAAATCCATCAACCGATGGATCATTTGATCATAATCTGCTCATGCATTAATGAAATTGTTGTGCTCCTTTTAGTACCAGCACAGTTGGTCATATTCTGACAACTTTTTAGGCCAGCTGGACTTGCTAAAATGTTTGTAGGAAGTTAAAAATGGAGAGAATTTTTTTTCACCAGGTAGATTTTTAGACTCGCATATGGTACTTGTAGCAACAAGAATAAGGAAGGATTGTTGTTCATTTCCATTCAGAAATCGTTATTTCTTCTGTCAATGAGTCATCTTCCAAGAGGCACTTGTCTGTTTCAGAATACCTTCAAATTAAGACCTTAATACTTCAATTTCACAACCAAAACAATAAGTTCAGGCTTTTGTAAATTACTCTGCAGCAGTATATAATCATGTACTATGTTGTTATGCATTTGAATAAGATCTCATCTAATTTTTTTAAAATTCTGGGCTTTCAGGGGCAGGTTAGGAAGATCTGGGATGAGAGAGGGAAGGGACAATAAAAAGGTTATTTTCCTTCATATTTATTAATTTAGAGCAGTAATTGATCATTTTTCACAACAATCCAAATGATAAAATAGACAATCTTGGGTTAAATAGGCATATAGAAACAAACCTGTATCTGAAGTGTAGAAATTCAATTGATTGTGTTTCCACTGTTATACAAAAAGTGAGATATGTTGTTTTTCTTCTAGATGAGGACAGACTCTCCAGGAGGAAGAGCATTGTGGACACAGTATCTATTCAGGTGGATATTCTGCCTGGCAACAACACAGAGGATAAGGTATGAAAATGATGGGATACTTTAAAGCAACATCTTTTGGGCAGGGGGAGGGGGAATGCAAATGAAGTTTTCCCAGAAAGTCTAATATCTAATTGCTCTAGCAATGTTAAATGCTTTGGGGGTTTGTTTGGTTTTGCTTTCTTTTTTTTAACTCCTATATTTATAGAAATGTGTTGTCAAAGACACTGATACTGATCTTGCTATATAAAAATGTAAAGTATTTTGTCACTATAGTTTTTACAGATAGTACTGCAGAATATGGGGTAGTAATGCGTATATATGCTGAACAACTAATATTTTATGAGCAAATATTCTAAAAATATTTCTTTGCATATTGAGGGATCACATAAAATTCCTGCATCTGTATCCCTGCATTAGTTGAAGTATCTGAGAGTCTTGTTCATCAACATGGGGCTGACAGATGAGAGACTAGTGGGAGACCTGCTGTCTTTGGGAGAGGCAGGTAAAGACTAGGCAGCTGCTTACACCACAGGGTTACAGTATCACCTCTTCCAGAACAGTTTAGCACACAGTGCTTTAAAGACACGGGAAGGATAAGGTAGCAACAAGAAGTTCATATGTAGGGTACAGGAGCTGATGCTAATTATCCCTTAGGAAGACTGCATTATAACTAAAATTATCCCACATCTTTTCACACTTCATCTGAAGTATTTCTTAAAATAAATTTCCATTTGTACTGAATCTTTTTCAAGGTTCTGCTGATTTTTATTAACCAGATTTCTATTGGCTGTGACGGAGATTAGCTGTTGAAATTGAGGTGTTTGTACCTGCAGCATTTTAAAGCACAAACCGGCTACAGGCGTGAAACAGATGTGTGGACAGAGTCAAGCTGAATGTTAGTCGAAAATGGAGTATTAAGCTATTGTAAATGAGCAACCTTCATTTTAGAACTTACTGACAGAAGTTATTTATGTTTTGCATCATTATTATTATTCCTTTCTGCTCTGTGCTGATGATACCTTGGATGGTATTTCTGTGTTCACTTCTTGGTTTTGTGTGTTAGCAAGGATACAGATAAACTAGATAAAAATTTAGGAGAAAGCAGAAAAAAGTGTTCAAAACCAAGCCAGATTATCACAATCTTTAGCTTTCTGAAGAAAGTAAATGCTCATAATAGGAATAGGGGTATGTGCCATTAGTATCCTTTTTTAAAATCATGTATTGTATGTGATTATATGTGATAGAACATCTGTCTTGAAAGTAGAACTAAATGAGAGAAGTTTCCATTTCAGATTTCAAATGATTATGCTGATGGTATGTTAAGCATTAATATATAGACATTTTTTGAAGAGGATACAGCAGTTGTAGGTAAATCAAAATCTTTGTATGGGTTCTCAGTTTAATGTGGTACAGTGTCTTGGATAATGAATGACTGTCTCTCTTAAAAACAAGAATTTTATATAATCAGAAAAACATGAAACAAAGTATTCCTTCTTTAGTTACTTTACAATGTTTGTTTACAATGCAAAGGGAAAACCAGTATTTTCCAATTTGCTATCTGCAGTTTGATACCTGTCATGAACATCTGAAAAAGTTTCATAGAATCATAGAATCATTTAGGTTGGAAAAGACCCTTAAGATCATCAAGTCTAACCGTAAACCTAACACTGACAAGTCCACCACTAAACCATGTCCCTAAGTGCCACATCTACATGTTTTTTAAATGTTTCCAGGGATGGGGACTCAACCACTGCCCTGGGCACCCTGTTACTTCAGTAATGGTGCTCTGTAATTTTTGCTAATTCTTTTTCCCTTATAATGCATGTTTTTGGCCACCTGCAACATGATGCTACATTGGATGTAACTCGAGGTGGAAAAAAAGAAAAAAGTCCATGAGGATATTAAATGTGGTTCTCTTGCTATGTAGGCTAGTAAATATAACATAATCCATAACTGTCAGCAGAATTGAACTGCAAAAAAAAAGGAGCATAAGGCTTTATGATTAAGAGGATAAACTACTTAATGGAAATTTTAGGATTAATGATGCATGGTATCATTTCTACACTGTCTGAGGTAGAAGATTTTACCCATAAAATACCTATTACTGTATACAATACGAATGCAATTCTTTTGTCAGCACAATCAAAGTGTTTTGTTGTGGCAAGTCTGTTACTGAATCCTGTTCAGGAAGATAGTTTATTCCAAAGTTATCTCCATTTATAAGAGGAAAGCACTTGTAAAAGCAGCTAGTGCTTCTGTGTTATTAATAACCAAGTATGATGCTGGCTAATATCAGCAACTACTATGGTTGTTAATTAGAAATCTGAAAGGCTGCCATAAACAAGTAATATTTACCAAATATGAATCGTATAAAAGGTGATTATTTAAAAATGTGAATACTCTTATCTCTAGCCATATTCACAAATATTTGACATAAAGGGAGTTTTGCTGTTTATCTATTAACCTTTTATATATTCAGAGGTAGAGAATACAATGCTAATGTAGTAAAATCTGTTTAAAAAGGACCATTTACAGCTCCATCTCCTGAAATAACACTGATTTAAAAAGGAAACAGCTACTTCTTCTGGCTTTTCCATTTACAGTAGGTGAAGTCAATGAATTAAAAAATTGAATTAATTCAGAGTCTTTTGAATTGGGTGAAATAACCTTTTGCTACCTTACAGACCTTTTATCTTAAATCATATTACACCATTCTAAACAATTATAAGGAAAAATAAAAGTGCTGCCTGTTTTAAATGTAGTCAGTTAATAAGGCAGTCCAAGCCAAGGAACCATGGTTACATTCAGGTGAACAGTGTTCTGCCATCTAAGTATTCTCCCCTAATATTATCACAGTGGTTTCACTGTAAATATGCTTAATGATACAGAAACTCTAGGTCTGTGAAGAATTGAAACACAGAGATCCATGAGCTGGCTCTTCAGAGAAATGTTCATGTGTCTTTGGTAATTTTGCAGCCCCAAGCAATTCCTAATGAAGTACGTCTGCATCAGCAAATGGATATTCATATTGCTAAATGAACAAACTTTCTCGGTGCATCAGATATAGCTTGTTATGAAGAGCCCTTTAGCTCCAATGTTTATGACATAAGCACGAAATTATTTTGAGCTCATAGTGGTATGAAGTTAGCGTAAAGCAATAACCGTTTTCCACTCTATGTCCACTACCACCTCTTACTTTAGTATCACATTGCTGGTAGCTCAACTAGTCTCAGGAAGCAGCTGCTAGTATTTGCAACAGCTGTCTAGGAACCAGTACTGAGGCTTAGCAGTATAGAAACACCACAGCATATTCCTGACCCAGAGCAGTGTTCTGCCAAAATTCAAGTCCTTTTCCAAAGTATTGTTGCCATAGAGCGTCTTGACCAGAATTCAGAGAGTTTTCATCGGTCCAATTTGACAAAAATTTCCTCACTAATTGCAGTAGCTTAAAAATGTGAGTTAGCAATCTGTTGGCTGTCACAGAAACTCCAGCTAAAGCTATTAGAAACTTGTAAGGCAGAAAAGCTCTGCGGCCATTTTGGCCTTCTGTATTTATCACATTCCTTATTTTTTAAGAAGCTTGTTATATGTGAGATTTAAGGGGTTTTGTTTCTTTGTGTTTAGATTGATAATACTGAAGAAATCACCTTTGAAGCTTTGAAGAAAGCAATTGGTAAGACTTATTACAATTGTCTTCATGCAGCATAGTCCTAGATTACTGTGGAATTGCTAGAGAAAAAGGTGTTGCCAGAATAATGTAATTAAAATATTACATTTGTGTCTCTTCAGCTAGTAAATTGATTTAAGACTTCAGTTATTTATTTCTAAATTTCTGAAATGATATCTTGATAATCTTAGTGAATTCATTTTCTGAAGTTAAGGTGACTGAATGAAAAGCATCTGGCAATGTCTGTCATCTATTAAATTTGCCCTTACAGGCCAAGCTATAAATAATGTGAGATTTTCAAATTCTATTGAGTGATTATTTATAAAGCTTAAATATTTTTTACATATTAAGATTTTCAGGTCTTCAGTGCATTCAGAAAACAGATTGTAAGGTACACATTGTGGACTTCAAAAACACTCAATTTTTTAGTTAGTATATTGATATACATCTATCTGATTTGTTTAAAAGTGTATTTTTCTGACAAGTGACCCCCTAGCAGAACTCGGAATTATTCCGTTTCCTTATTTCATATCACTAGAAGTAATTACTAATCAATGCTGTCCAGTCCACCAAAATCTTGTCAAAAACATGGATTAGACATGGATGTTTTAAACAATAGACACTGATATTTTAGACAATAATTCAATCTGACAGTTTTCAAAACCTGCCTAATCACTGAGGTACTTACATTCATTAGATGCTGCAAAGTTCCAACTGGTTGTAGGTTCACTCAGCCTATGGAGGTTGAACTCACTTTTCCCAAATTCTAATAGAAAATCCTGCCCTCCTGTCTGCATGATACTGGGAGGGAGGATACTCCCTTCTTTTCTCTGAAGCTGAACTTGTGTGCACTGCATGAGAAGTGCAGTCTTGAGTCCAGATAATAAAACAAAAGGAAGCCTGGATGTACTTGCAATGAAAGCACATAGTAACAAAGGGGCAAAAGTGAAGTCCTCAAACCAGCGCCCTGAAATTGTATCTGCATTTTGCTTTAGAAGCAATGACAGATGACAGCTTGCTTGAGTATGGTTGCATCACTTCAAGTACAGTGTTTGTTTGCTTCTGCAGTGCACATTTGAAGGTTTATATCACTTACACGATAGGCAAAGATTACATTTGTCTTTATTTTGGTTTGGGTTTTTTTTTAAATAGATAACAATGGACTTGAAGAACAGGAAAAAGAAAAAAGGCGTCTTGTGATTGAAAAGTTCCAAAAAGCGCCATTTGAAGAAATTGCAGCACAATGTGAAACAAAAGTGAGTTTCTGAAAAATGTTTTACAGCATTGAAGATACTAGTATAAGCATTAATGGCGATGTGCTGGCTAAAGGTGATTCATGTTATCATGTCACTGCTGTTGTTACTTCTGTAGAAGTTCAGTTCTTTGTCTTCAGCTATTATCTCTACTATTATTAATGTTGGGAAATTCCAGTTATTTAAAGTGTGCTTTTGAATGTTGCTAGACCATTTGAAAAGGAATGGAAATCTCATACACTCTTCACCTTAATGTTTTCCTTACTGTCTTTGAAATCTAGATTCATGGTCCATTCGTATTTCATCCTGGGATAACTGGAGCAGTATTTACCCCATTATATATTTTGAATAACTGTTTCAGGTTTGTTAGACTCCTATCTGCAACAGCAAAATTTGCTATATAATTCCTCCAAGACAGGCTCACTCAATCTCACATGCTTCTTCAGGGCTCAGAACTCTTGTGGCAGTGAGAAAAGAAATCGAGATGGGAAATGCTGCCTAGATTTGCCATGTGGTGATATGAAACACGCTCACGGAGTATGGCCTTGCACATCCATTTGATCTTGGTTCAATATGTAGTAGTTAATAATTAAATTTTAATTTCTTTTCCTAGGCAAACTTGCTTCATGATAGACTTGCACAGATACTGGAACTCACGATTCGGTAAGGCTTTATACAAGAAGGATATGATGAATGAAAAATGAGTTATAAAGCGATTGTGACTACTTTCAGGTGGTCATGTCATAGAGTTCTTAAACATATGTAGTAGGCAGAAAATAATTGACTTAACTGAATATTGTGGTTTAACTGTGGTAGGCATTTAAGCCCCACACAGCCGCTGGCTAACTCCACCTCAGTGGGATGGGGGAGAGTATCGGAAGGGTAAAAGTGAGAAAACCTGTGGGTTGAGATAAAGACAGTTTAATAGGTAAAGCAAAAGCCACGCATGCAAGCAAAGCAAAACAAGGAATTCATTCACTACTTCCCATTGGCAGGCAGGTGTTCAGCCATCTCCAGGAAAGCAGGGCTCCATCATTCCTAACCGTTACTTGGGAAGACAAACACCACCGCTCTGAATGTCCCTCCCTTTTCCTTCTTCTTCCCCCAGCTTGATATGCTGAGCATGCCGTCATATGGTGTGGAATATCCCTTTGGTCAGTTGGGGTCAGCTGTCCCAGCTGTGTCCTCTCCCAGCTTCCTGTGCACCCCCAGCCTACTTGCTGGTGTGGGGGGGTGAGCAGCAGCAAAGGCCTTGACTGTGTAAGCACTGCTCAGCAGTAACGAAAACATCCCTGTATTATCAACTCTGTTCCCAGCACAAATCCAAAGCAGAGCCCCATCCTAGCTACTAGGAAGAAAATGAACTCTATCCCAGCCAAAACCAGTATGCTGAAAAAGAGTAGTCTTCATCTAAAACAGTCACTTAGATTTTCTTGTTACTATTTGGAACCTTTCAGATAGTGGAGAATATCCAGAAACCATGTCACAGTATACTTATATTCTTATATTATTTCTGTGTATATCAGTAGTATTGAAGAATGCTGCTGTTTTCCTATTGCTGCATCAGTTCGAAAAAGTAATTAGAAAATGGACACCCAAAATAGTACATTATCATAGAGTGTTGTGCACATCTGTTGTGCAGTATGAATAGTATTTGTTAGTAGTAAAATACATTTTCATAGTTCTGTAACATCAGTGAAGTTCATGATTTAGACCAGAGTACAAAAAAAAAAAAAAAAACCCACCCACAAAAAAAACCCAAGACATGATAATTTCATTAGAATTTCAAGAATAGGAGAAAATACTGGTTGTGAAGGGGGAGAGGGTAGTTCACTTGTTTGTCAGCTATTCATATATCAAGTTATAAAAAAGACAGCAGTCTGTATAATTATAAACTATATATATATGTATTGATTTTTCTTCTCTCACAGTCCTCCACCTAGCCCCTCAGGAACAATGACCATTACTGCTGGACATGCCCATTACCAGTCTGTTCCAGTCTATGAGATGAAGTTTCCAGATCTTTGTGTGTATTAAGTGTCTTCTGAAGTCTGCTGGACATTATTTAGAGTAGAGTACAATAGAAAGAACAAGATGAGTTTTCAAATTTTATTGTTTATTTCATCTAAACTAACTTTAAAAAAATTATGGACATGAGCCAAATATAGATTACTCTAGCCAAACTCATGAGACTGTCCTGAGTTGTTTCCTTCTGTAATATATTTGAAATTAGGTTTTTTCATATATCATGTTTCTTCATTTTCATATTTGAGTACATGTAAAAGTCAGATTTAAAACTTGTCTTGCCATATAGATGAGTATTTCAGTTACACTAGGAATTTGTATTTCTGTAATTTCTTTTAATTTGAGGCATTGTAACTGAAGAACCTGCTGAAGATTTTTTTTGTTTGTCTATTGTTGTTTTCTCCTCTCCACCTCAATTATATATCTAAATAGAATGCTTTTGGCTTGCTTCATCTTAATAAATGTAGCCAGTGGAGCGCTACCTTAGCTCCCTTTTGTTCATGCTGTCATAGCTAGCCAACTTGTTTATTTTGGAATATATGGAAAAAAACAATACCTTACATGTGTTCAAGTACAGTAAATGAGTTAATGGACACCTGTTAAGTATTTTTTTGACGCATCACATACCATGCTTTTTAGATATATACGCCCAGTATACGTCCTGTGTTTCTTGCTAAAAGTTAACTGCTTTGCATAAAAGAGGAGAAATCTCTTGAAGCACTGAACTGTGCAATATTTTTCATGTCTTAAGGTGTATCGTTTACAGACTGTACTTTTGAAAATGCAGTAGTATTTTAATGTCTGCTTTAGTATAAATACACGAGAGATATATTTAGTATAGCAGAAAGTAAACTGAGCATTTTAAATCATAAATACAGAAATTACAAATATATTCTATGAGGTATTTCTCTGTAGTTTATTACAGCTTTTTAATGATATTTTAGAAATTTAAAGAAAACTGGATGAAACCATTTAAAGACCAAGAATTTATTATATATGCTTTCAAGCAAAAGCATTTTTAGAGATGCATCTCTGTGTTCATTTTTGTTTCATTCTCAAACCTTTCTAGAAATAAGGAAAATGTGGTAACTTCATAGGTTTATGTATCTGAGTATACTATTCAAATGTAAATAAAGTAAAAGTAGCACAGTAAATCCCTGAGCTTTTGATGATAATTGTCAAGGCTCTCTTGATGATTCACTAAATTCTGCAGGCAAAAAGAAGAAACAGCTTTTGTTGATGCCAGGAATAGTAAGTTTGAAGTCCCTGAATCTGACTGAAGCAGCAGAAACATGAATGAATGTTCTCAAATATCTATAATAAATGTAAGACATTTAAGTTAGCCAGCAGTTTAGATAAACAGTGATCAGGCCATGAACAATGTGATCTAACTTCAATTAGCCCTGCTTTGAGCAGGAGCTTGGTTTAGATGACCTTCGGAAGTCCCAGCCTAAATTAGTCTATGATTGCATAATTCTAAGATCTGAATGGTTATCATGCCAGCTAACTTGCTGACTGTTTTGAGCATTTGCAAACCCACTGTAAAATGGATTTTAAGTTTTTTTGAACTGTACTACAGTATTCCACTGGACTACTTTTAAAAGCCTAATGTGACGTAACATCAGAGAAATATCAGCTACTTAAACCTATGAGATAACATGCTGAGACTTTCAGAAAGCATTCACAAAACTCAAAAGGTAATTGAGACCTTCTTTTCAGTTTAACAGTGCAATCACAGCTGTTAGTGGATGACGAAACAGCCCCTTATCTACAGCATTCCGTTGTGATTTTTACTGCTGCAGCGTATCAGCCTGATCAGACCACAGTCTACACATAAAATAGGACTCGTTGTCACTCTAGCTTTTAGTTTTCACTTTTTGGTTTTTTTAAGGTAAGACATAATAGTTTTTTGGCCTATAAAAAGAGTGTAATTTTTTAAACAGTAAATCTAACCTAGGGATACAATGTAACACACTTATCCACACTGTCATTTTTTTAAGAAGAACACTGTGCACTTTTGTACAAAAAGAAAATAAGGAGTCTCAGAAATAAAGAATGTACTTCTGTTTGCACTCTTGCAGTATGGAGACTGTGCTGTAAATACAGGATTGTTTCTGTGATTGAATTCTGTTGCATGAATGCTGCATGTGAAAATAACTAGATTCAGCATTTCATTTTCTGTTCTGTTTATGAAGTATTTTTCATTTATGCTAATGGTAGGTTTATGTGTTTTTGATGTTCAAATGAGCTTTGTTTGGGAAATGCAGGTGTTGTGCAGGTATTGTGCAGGGAATGAAGAGCTTGTAACACTCTGTGTGTTCACGTGGTATTTAATTTCTTCCTTTCTGGAAATTCAGGGAGTCTGCAAGTTGATAATTGGTTCACTCTGGCCTTTCTAGACAGCTGGGAGATGGGAGTGACTGTAAAATGTATCATTTTGGTAGCTATTGTTATATGTAGCTAATGAATGAAACCAAATGAATTAAGGACGCTGTTGTATGGTATAAAGCTGCTTTGTTTCACTTATCTCTTTATGTTATTGAGACAAGTTGCAGGACTTAAAAGCTCCATATGCATACCGGCCCTGTGTTATCTGCACCACATTGAGTACTGTCACAATGTTTATACATTGGTATCCAGCTGTTTAAATGTATTCCAGCTTTGGGTTCTCTTTCCCATTGTGTCATTTTGAAAAATTATAGCTTCTGGTAGTGGGTCACTTTAAAGTAAATTAGATCCTGGTTAATTTCAAAAGATAGAAATAGTCTGTTGTCTAAAATCAGAGTAGGGCTAATTTGTCTGTTGTTCTGATGGTCATATATTCTGTACTGTACGTAATGAACCGGTTTCAATAAATGTAAGAACACACTGTGCAATTTATATTTAAGCAATAAAGTAAACCAAAATTTAAAATTAATCTTTTCTAATGTGTCAGGATATTTTTTTTTTAATTGCTCAATTGACAAAATTAGCAAAATAGTGCTGGTTTTCAGAGTTCATGTCTTCCTAAATTATGTCAAGTTGTTTATGAAATTGTGTTCCTGAATCTTTAATACTTTTATCAGCTTACAGGCAAAGAATAAGTACTTAAAAATTTAAAATAAATAAATTAGTATCTAATGAAGTAGGAAATCTTTTTATATTAGTAATTAATAGGTTATTTGTTCAGTTTGGGGAAACAACTAGGTTTACGCCAGCTATACCCCAAATCTTTGAAAAATATAGTGTAAAGTTACTCTGAGAATGAGAGAAGAAAGAAGAAAGCTGTGCTAAATGTCTCATCTTGATCTGCTTATCATTTTTTAATTATTTTAGCAGTGATCTCTGAGAATGAATAAATATAGCTAATCATAGCTGTATTATTTAAGACTTTATCAACACAATTCATACAGTAGTAATTACTCTATGGAACTCTTGGTGTTAAGTTCTTCCTGAAATAAGAGATACTGAGAAAAAGCCCGAAGGAAGTAATGACAACATTGCCTGAATAACAGCATATTTATATTGTAATTTCTCTGTTACTTGATCAATTCAAATGATCCATCTCTGTCTCTGCAATCAGAAAATTCAGCATATCTCTGAGTGAATATATGTGTGTGTTATTTGCATAACCATGAATGTAATACTAGTTTCTAATAAGTAGCAGAAGGGGGTGTTTTTTTATCTTAAGCGTGTATTTCAAATGCAGGCTTCAGAGCAGCAGCACTGCTATCTGAGGGGAGACCTTGTCACTCTCTACAACTACTTGAAAGGAGGTTGTGACGAGGTGGGTGTTGGTCTCTTCTCCCAAGTAACTAGCGATAAGACGAGAGGAAATGGTCTCAAGCTGTGCCAGGGGAGGTTTAGATTGGATATTAGGAGAAATTTCTTCATGGAAAGGGTAGTCAAGCATTGGAACAGGCTGCCCAGAGAGGTGGTGGAGTCACCATCCCTGGAGGTGTTAAAAAAATGGGTAGGTGTGGCACTTCGGGACATGGTTTTGTGGGCATGTTGGTGTTGGGTTGATGATTGGAATGATGATCTTAGAGATCCTTTCCAATCTTAATGATTCCTAGTTTTGACTTTCATTAAAAATAATCCAGCCACCAAGCCAGGAAACATGAAATTATGACTCTACCCTTAATTGGTTTAGTGGTGGACTTGGTAGTGTTAGGTTAATGGTTGGACTGGATGATCTTCAAGGTCTTTTCCAACCTAAATGATTCTATGATTCTATGATTCTATAATTAGAGAAATGAGCTTGTGTTATTATTAAGCAGCAATGCATTTAATTCACTTGTTTAAATGCCAATTTTTTGTATTTCAGCTAATTAGCTATCTGACCTTTTAATTATCATTTTCATTTATAAATACTGTGAAATATAAAATAGTTTTTCATCACTACGATGAAAGGCTGATAAAAGTTCCAATTCTGAAACAAGTAAACATATCAGCATAATGCAGATCTCATCCTCAGGACAGGACAAAAATGGGCATTTTGGAGATTTGTAGCATTTTGCTTAAGTACTGAAATGCCCTCTTTCTATACAGCATAATGTGTTTGGGCTCGGGGGGGAATCAAAGTTAATTAAAATCTTGTCTGCAGGTAGAATTCCTCACTCCACTCAGCTATCGTCTCTGCCTTCCCTTAAAGGAAAAGTATGCTCTGGGTTTTATTTTTTTTTCACTAGCGCTAATGGTGTAGCCACTGTAGGCAATGGGATTCATGTAGCTAGATACCTTTTGGGTTTGTTTTTGGGTTTGGTTTTTTTGGTGGTATTTTTTTCTGTACTGCTCTAATCCTTTGTAGGAAAAATAATGAAGGGGAATACCACCAGCCAGAGGTTTATAGAATACTAACTGCTCATCCAAGAACGTTCACTGGCCTTTTCACCTGCTGTTCTCACAAGGTCGAATTTGCACAAGGAGATTAAATGGTATGGTTTGGTTAACTGCTTCATGATTTGGAAGAACACAGGTAGTGCTTCTGTATCCAGCATTAGGATGTAGTCATTGATCTGTAATGAATACTT